GAGCATGAGCGCCCGCCCCACCCTCGCAAAATCCACCACCACCCCCCACCTGACAGGTGCATCATGAGGCCCAGAGCCAGCCACGCGTCGCTCTCCCCCGCCATCAGCAGGCCACGCAGCCCCGCCGCGCTGTCAAACGCGGCAGACACCTGGGTAGTGGGGCCGGGCGGCCAGGCAGGCGAGTGACGGGGCGACGGGGTGAGGCGGGCAATTTGGTTGCCCGCTCCAGAGCTGCTGCAGTGCACAGGCGTCGGCGACACGTACTTTGGCCGGCCGCAGCAGGTGCGATGCAAGGCGCAACCCATGGGGCGGACGAGCGATCGCAGAGCCGCGCAGCGGGCGGGTGCGGGACGGGCAAGGCGTGGGCGCGGGCGCGTGGGGCGGGGGCGCGGGTGCGGGCGGTTGCATTCACCTGCTGTGGTGAGACCTCCTGGCGCGTCTCCCCCAGCAGGCTAGAGGCCAGGGTCTTGAGGGTATAGTCCACCTCACGCACCAGGTCACGCGCTGCGAGATGGTGGTTGTGTGGGTTTGTGGGGTTGGTTGGTTGGTCAATTAGTAGCATGTTTGTGTGTGTGTGTGTGTGTGTGTGTGGGTGTGTGCGCGTGCGTGTTTGTGTGTGTGTGTGTGGGGGGGGGGGAGGTAGGGGTCAATCAAGTGTGCGGCAATGAACGTTGGCGGGTGGTTCGTGCTTTGCATGCGCCCGAGCCGGCGCCAGGCTGGGGCTTTGCCCCGGTGCGATCGACGGCGTTGAGGGCGGGAGCATGCCTGTCAGGCAGGCTAGAGAGGGGATGAGAAGCAGCCGCGGCTGCCTTACCCCATCCATTTGTATCCTGGGGGCTGCACACCGCCAGAGGCGGGGGCCCCGCCCGCCCGTTGCTCACCCCTGCCACCCTTATGGGTGGCCCTCACCTGACAGGTACGTATCGCACAGCAGCCGCCCCGCCAGGCACGTGAGCAGCCCCGCGCTCGCGCCGCCGCCGAAGATGTGGCCGCCGCCGGTGAGCTTGGGGAAGGTGTTGCGGCGCAGGCGGCCGACGCGGCTCCACAGGGGGACCTTCAGGGCCTAGGGGCGTGCGTGGTGTGTTGTGTGTTTGTTGTGTGTTTGTTGTGTGTGTGTGTGTGTGTAACTTGTGTGGTTATTTGTTATACACAAATGGTTTGAACTAAGCATTTTCTTGCTTGTGTGTGTGTGTGTGTGTGTGTGTGTGTGTGTGTGTGTGTGTGTGTGTGTGTGTGTGTGTGTCGTGCGTCGTTGAGAGTGTGCATTTGAGAGTGTGGGTGTCAGAGAGAGAGAGTGTTACCCGTGTATCCTTGGTTTCTGCCCCCACCATCCCCGCCCGCCCTGCCGCCCACCTGTAGCCTGTGCAGCAGCACGCTGAGGTCAAAGGCGCTGATGTTGTGCCCCACAAGAACGTCCGCATCCAGGGCCTGGGGGGCGGCGGCAAGGACTCAGGTTGGGTTCTTTGGCGCTTTGAGGGCTGCGGGCGGTGGTGGGCGGCGGTTGATGCGCATAGGGCAGCAAGCGCGCCCTGCTGCCCAAGGCTCGCGGCTGCCCAGGCGCCGGGCGGCCTGGGACATTTCAAGGCCACTAGCACACACGGGTCCGCATGCAGTCGCGTGCAAACATGCCATTCCCACGAACACCATGAACAGAGAAAACCGCCGACCTGCAGCTTGGCCAGCAGGCAGCCCAGCAGCGCCCTCTCGTTGGGCTGCGGCACCACCATGCTGCCGCCGTTGAGCCGCCCGCGCGGCGACGCGTTGTCGGCCGCAACAGACGCCTCGTACCCTGAGGACGCCGGGCAGGCACACAGGGGCGGCAGTAAGCCCGTGCTTTCGGGTTTGCATGGGCTTCGCACATCACTGGGTGCGAGTCGAGCAGTGGCGTACACAGCAGGGACGTCGTGGCTGCACCAGGCGGAGCCGGAGCCGGAGGTAGATCTTCCCCAGCCGCGCCCCGCCGGCCTTGCTCAATCACTTCAGCTCTGAACAGGCATGGCGCGGCGTCACTCACCCGGCGGCCAGGGGTGCCCGTCCAGCTTCCTGACGACCGTGAAGTTTCTCAGCAGCTGCGGGCTGCTCCACTCCTCCCGCGGCATGGGGGAGTCGGGGGAGACCCCCGCCAGGTGCACCTGGGCAGGTCGGTTTGGGGGGTTACGGCTTGGTGCTCGTGAGGGCGTGAGGGTTCAGGGTTGGAGGTTGGGCTTAGTGCTTGTGAGGGAGTGGCATGCACCGTCAGAAAGCGAGGACATCGTCAGATGGGGCAAATAACGAGTTGGAGTGGGGGCACGACCCAAAAGCGGAAGGTCGAGTGTTGAGCAATGAGGCCGCACAGGAACTTGGCCAGGAAAATCATGCACTGGGTTGACACGCTCGGTGCAGGAGCCATTGACAAGCCCGGATCAACCGACAGACGCACGACGCGCCAAAAGTAGCCGCCCCGTCCCTGGCACCCGGGCGCAGCCCGCCCGCCTGCCCACCACGCTGGCTGCCAGGATCTCCGGCTGCTGCGTCTGCGGGTTGGTGTGCAGCCGCAGGTTCAGCGCCGCCGCGGTCAGCGGCGGCGGGGGGCGCCGCGCACGCAGCTCGGCTGCGCCGGCGTGCTTGCCGGCCAGGAGCGCCTTGGGGCCAGACAGCTCGACCTCCAGCTTGCACCAGGACACCTGCGGCGGGGTGTGGGCGTGTGCGTGTATGTGTGGGGGGAGGGGGGAGAGTGTGTGTGTGTGTGTGTGTGTGTGTGTGTGTGTGTGTGTGTGTGTGTGTG